TAAATAATATATATATATATATATATATATATATATATATATATATATATATATAAAAAAAAGCCACTCGGATTGCTGAAACGCAAAAAAAAAAAAACCGCTCCTCCTGCCGTGCGCCCCCTGGATTGCGCGCACCCCACTTTGGAGACCACTGCTCTAAGGAGTGACTAGCCCAGTGGTTCTCCACCTTTCCAGACCGTTGTACCCCTTTCAGGAGTCTGATTTCTCTGGTGTACCCCCAAGTTTCACCTCACTTAAAAACTGCCTGCTTACAAAATCAGACATAAAAATACAAAAAAGGTCACAGCCACACGATTACTGAAAAATGGCTGACTCTCATTTTACCATATAATTATGAAATCAATCAATCGGAATATCAATATTGTACTTACATTTCAGTGTATAGAAAATACAGAGCAGTATAAACAAGCCATTGTCTGTATGGAATTTTAGTTTGTACCGACTTCGCTAATGCATTTTCTGTAGCCTGTTGTAAAACTAGGCAAATATCTAGATGCGTTGATGTACCCCCCAGAAGACCTCTGGGTACCCCCAGAGAAACACAAACCCCTGGTTGAGAACCACTGCACTAGAGAGTGTCATCGCTACTGTGTTAAGGTCTCTGCTAACACCCTTTACCCGATACTGTTACAATACGGGAAAAACGGGGCTGTCAACTCTCATCATTTTGTCATCAGTCTCACGATCATTATTAAAAAGAACGAGGGGTATTTGTGCCGCCTGAGAGACTTGCAAATTTATTTGAGCATAAGCTTTCGTGGGCTAAAGCTGATGAAGTGGGCTGTAGCCCACGAAAGCTTATGCTCAAATAAATTTGTTAGTCTCTAACAGGGCCTTAGAGACCAGGGCCGGCTCCAGCATTTCTGCCGCCCCAAGCAAAAAAAAAAAAAAAAGCCACGATTGGCGGCAGCAGTTCAGCGGCAGGTCCTTCGCTCCTAGAGGGAGTGAGGGACCTGCCGCCCCCGAATTGCCGCAGGTGCCGCCCCCTCCCTTGGCCACCCCAAGCACCTGCTTGTTAAGCTGGTGCCTGGAGCCGGCTCTGGTCTCTGAGGTGCCACAAGTCCTCCTGTTCTTTTTGCTGATCCAGACTAACACGGCTGCCACTCTGACACGATCATTATTGTTTTCCTTAAAGCCCCAGCTCCTGGAATCAAGTGAACAAGGGGATGATTTCCTTCTTAAAGCAAACCTAAAGTGTCTAGCCCTGGTGGAGAAAGCTTCAAAAATGTGAGACACACCCCGCCCCTCGGGCACCCTAAAGGCTGCAAAAGCAGAAGGCAAACAAGTGACCTCCTCAAGTCTCTTATCCTTACATGATCTCATGGTTTTAAAGTCAAGCTGGTGATGTTTGGTGCGCTGGACTCACTAGTTTTGAGCATTTGGGGTTAGCAATCCTGGACAAATCACCTCCTTTCTGCACTCAGACCTTTTCCCCTCCTCAGTAACTAGGCTGCTGCTAGAAGGGTAATTAATGATTAGGGGCTGAGCAACAGGATGACCCCCCCCC